AAGCCTCATTCGCACCCGCTTAGATTATGGGGCCATTGTTTATCAGTCTGCGACTCAAAGCGCTTTGAAGATGCTGGATCCCGTGCACCATTTAGGCATCCGCCTTTCTACGGGTGCTTTTCGCACCAGCCCTGTAGAAAGCCTTTACCGTATTTTTGCGCGTATAATTCGCACCCCCACTTTCAGCTAACCGAGAAAGAAAAAAAAAATCCTTGCATATTGCCCGCACATTTGATATACAAGAAAGGCTGTACAAAAGCTACTGCTCAAGCAACATAGCACATATGTAGACAGAAAAAGCTTTATTTAGCAAGCAGAATACGCTGTCTGCAAGGCCAGTCACAATTCACTCACTGTCGCTACTCTCGCTAGAGCTATCACTTGAGCCGCAGTCCTCACTGTTATGCTCAAGGTCATCTTCGGTTCCATCCATGTTGTTTGGGATGCAGGCATTTCTTGAAACTTTTTCGCACCATCTCACCTGGAATGGCCTTCCATGCCTCAACAATCCACTTGCAGAATAGGGCAATATCAGGCCACGGACTCGTGCTGTCGGCGTCACGTCGTAGAGGCCTTCGGGCATCCACTCGGCGTAATAGCGCTTGACATGCGCTTTGAAAGGCTTGTTAAGCGACACATCTAGAGGCTGCAACATTGACGTCATTCCACCGGATATAACAACTAAGCCCGTGCCTTGCGTGAAAAGCGGTCCTTCGCTTCCTCAGTTGTGTGGCCGCGGAACGAGTCAAGAACGAGCATGGACCTCTTTGCGAGCATCGCACCGGGCCTCTTCTCCCATACCGTCTTGATCTAGTCCACGAACAAGTCACTGTTCATCCACACATTTTCGTGTGTACCAAAATGAATCTTTGGTAGAGTTTTCCTTTTCAAGATGACGTACGGTCGCAGTTGCGTGCCGTCGGCGAGGGCACAAAGCAAGACTGTGATGCGCAGTTTCGTGTTCCCGCTGGTCAGCACGCTCACCGAACTGCTGCCCCTCTTCTCAATCGTTGTGTCCAATGGCATTTCAAAATAAACAGGAGTTTCATACGCATTGCCGATTTGCGAAAAAATGTCATTGTGCTGCTTTCGCAGGTCAATTGCATATCTGGTACTTGGGCAGCTTCTCCTTTAAGAAGCTGGCAAGCATTGACATATTGTAGTCCGCCGTCTGATTGAGAGCTCTTACCGCTTCATAAAGCGGTGCAGCCATCCGTTGCTCGCACGGAACTCGTGAGGTAGGCCTAGCTCTCTCGAAAGACGCCGCGCTTCCACTTGGGCCATCTCAGTCGATACGGCGTGACCCCTGCTTCTCACATCTTCGATGAACTTTACTAGCTCCGCCTTCAGCTCAAGGTAGGCACCGGTCTTGGGGCCACGAAATGACCTACAGTCGCGGTGCGCGGCTTGTTGGCTCTTTCTTCTTTCTTTACAGTCGCACGCAGGACTCGTCCTCATCGCGCCGTCTTCCCACTTCGCGATTTCCACATTCCTGGGCGACGGCGATGATCTTAAGCTTTTGCTGTGCCGTGAAGGACTGCCGTTGTACGCTTCTCATGGTGACAGAGCAGATCGACTTAGGCTTTCACGACTTAGCACTACCACCTCTAGTACACTGTAACAGCACCCTGGAAACAACATACCGAAATGCATGCCTGCTACCGCGTCAAAAAGTAGTGCATAAGTTTACTGATAACATCTCTATCTCTCTCGCGAACGTCCAAAAAATATAGGTGTGACAGTGAGATTTTACGCTGAACAGTCGAATTGTCTCTCCCCAAATATTTTTCTAAACACTTCAACGATGCAAGCAAGAGAAACCAAAATCGGCCGCAAGCTGCCGAGCTACTTGCAGAGCAACGCGAATTTGCGGAAACCGCCTCCCTAGCCTTCGCTACAATGTTAAGGGGCTTCACAGCACAACACGCATTGCTGTGAAGCAGCACTATAGGAAAAACCCTGCGTATTATCTACACCTCCGCTTTGCCGCTAAAATTTTTGGGTTTTTGGTGCGGGTTATACGTGCGAAAATACGGCACGTTGAGTCAAATGAGTGGTCGCTTCATATGCAGAGAACTTACATGTCCTTTGTATATTTCGTTAAGGTGAAAGCAGACAAGAAGCACCCCACATACTCTACTATTAATGATTTGTCGAGCTCCATTCTGGTTCAAAACAGGCGTTTGATGAGGCAGCCCTTCTCGGTTCGCCGGACGGGTCTAACTGTGGAAACTGGAGTGTCACGTGAGCACTGTTTAATGGCTCCTGTAGCATACACCGCCACCGTGGCAGTGGCAGACTATAGACTGCGATGTGTCTTTCCTAGAAGTTACAAAACATGCGCCTATTGCCCATATCCGAACATACTTCCTGGAACTTCAACACAAATACACACGTCCTGAGTTCTTTACAGATGCCTCCAAGTCTAACTCCTCTGTGTCCTACACTGCTGTCGGCCCATCCTTTTCGGATGCTGGCCCTCTACATCCAGGCACAAGTATCTTCACAGCGGAAGCTTACGCGATACTTGTGGTGGCTAAACACATCAAACAATTACAAATACAAAAAGCAGTAATTTATACGGACTTCCTCAGTGTGGTTACGGCTCTGCAAACCCTTAAAAAACAAAAAAAACCCTGTCCTTGTCTCACTTTACTCTATTTGATGCACACTCTACACACTCAAACATGTTCTAGTATGCTGGGTGCCAGGGCACCGTGAGATTCAAAGCAACGTGAAGGCGGATCAGCTTGCTGCATCCGTCCACGAAAGCACTGCCACTACACCCATATCAATCCCGGCCCTTGATCTGAAGCAGTCTCTCAAACAAATGCTCAGGGACTACTGGCAGAGCAAGTGGGATAGACACACACTAAACAAACTACACATTATTAAGCCACACCTTCGCCATTGGCCGCCAGTATCGAAATCACGTCATACAGAGGTAATACCAACGAGGCTCACAATAGGACACACATACACGACACACACATATCTTTTGTCCGGTGGCGATCCACCATTGTGTGACAGATGTGGTGAAGCACTAAGGGCCGAACCTCATAAGCGCGAAAATGCACGCGACAGCGACGAGCGACGCTATGAGCGACGAAACAGGGCGTTTGCGCGACGTGTCGCGTGTTCGTTTTCGCGCGATCGTTTTTTGCGCGATCGCTCGGTTCTCCAGATTTGGAAACCGTCGCTCATCGCCCGGAAGTGCTGGGCTCAAGCAGCCAATAGCGAAATACCGGAAAAGACGACTACATAGGTGCACGTGACCCGGCCAGAGTCACGTATGCGCAACAAGAAATAACGCAATGTTTATTATGCATGTGCATATAAAAAAGTGCTGCAAGGCAATAATAAACACTTTCCGTTTCATTACACAACAATATATCTTATTTTTAAATTGCATACCGCTCGCTACGCGGTTTTCTTGGTGCGAGTAGACGGCCTCATGCCAGCAACAGTGGAATTTGCTCGCCGAAGCCGTCGCGTGAATGAGGTTTGCCTGCGCTAGCGACTGATCGCGCGAAGCCGATCTATGTCGCGTCGCTTGTCGCTGTCGCGTGCTTTTTCGCGCTTATGAGGTTTGGCCTTAACAGTTCACATTTTAATCCAGTGCAAACAGTTAGAAACTAAGAAAACAACACTCTCTTTTACCCTACCGACAACATATACCTTTACACCCTGCAATGTTCGTCGGTAGGGAACCACTTTTTAGTCATAAATCATTGTTAGCGTTTTTAAAGGAAATTCGTAGTTTTCATATCATATACCCGGGCATTCCGTAGCACGACCTCTCCAAAGAGGTTTTCGCTGTGATGGCTACACAACAAAGTACTTGCCTCACGGCCCTTGGACGCAAGGGTATGAACAAGTGAGGCATAATGCCATACATGTCCACCATCATTTTTATTATCACCAACTTTTGTCATCTATTCACACCACGCACACCTTTCACGGCATGGTCATGATTTTATTACTTGTATGTTTTTACCTGCCTTACCGCGAGGAATTTTATGGCCCTTATACAGCCGCTTATCACAATCATTGTCTATATCTTAAGATGAACTGGCGCTCTTTGGCTGTGAAATGGCCCTTGCGCCACATCATCATCGTCATCATTAGAACATGCTTGTTGGCACAAATTAACATTATGTATATATGGTGATCTCCAAGGGTTTATTTTGGCAAAATAGTTGGTGTGCCATCTCCTGTATAATTGCATGCTTTGGTCTTGCCTGGGAAAATACCTGGGGATAATGTCTGCCCACAGTGCATGACTACCACATTCACTGCCTTTCAACACATATGCCTACTGATGCGAAGTTTTTGTGGCCATTGAAATGTCCTACCATAACAGGCTTTGTATTCTCACTTCTGTCATGAACATAGCTACGAACAAAGCACTCACACTGGATGTCATAGCTATGCACTGAAAAAGGCAGTCAGTGTTTTGATAAGCTGGCCGTTCTCTATTGTGTTTGCAAAAGTGTAATTTTTTAATTGCAAAATGCTAAACAAGTACATTTTCCCATACAATGTGACATTCTGTGGTCTGCACTAAGTGATAAGACTGTTAAGACACCAAGTACAAAGCTGTTGAGTTGAAAAAATTTGTGCTTTTAGGATAGATCTTGCTGGTTTCATACCAGTATGCCAGAACTGGAGTGGAAGTTTGGACTTCAATAAAAATATCCTGCAATTGTGGGTGGGTGGGCCCTCAAGCCCTAGAGGTAAACTTCAGGATACTGGTTGTGCGTTACTTTCTACGAGCTGTAAAATGTCTACATGTTGGACAGGGGTGGCATGCTTGAGTGGCGAACGAACACTGCCGAATAAAGCACTGTTCCACTCGAGTATTCTCCCTGCCTTTCCTTTAATTTGCTTTTGAAGTTTCACAAAGAAATGACACAAGCTTACTGCATCCCTGCTCTTTATGCTGTTTGTACCCCTTACATTGTGTGTGACCTGCATTTGCATCATTTCTTTTCTTCAAGGTTGACGAAATCTCCGGGGCGAACCAAGAAATGATCAAAGAGATGTTGGCGAAGTACAAGTAAATGAGGCGATGTGCTCGGCACTACCAGCCTGTGCGAACGAAAAGGGGGAAAAGCCCAGTTTCATAAGCGTGTTCTAAACTGCCTTCTTTTTCGCTTGGCTCGACAGACTTCCTTCTCGTTTTATACTTCCAGCCCTCCACGTTTATAGCTGTACTGTCTGCAAGATCTCAATGAAAAGTCCAGTTAGAACTTGTAGCATATACATTGCATTAACGAAATGCCCAAACTTTCACACGCACACGCAGTTTAAACGTGCGCTTGCCTCTGCTACCGTCCACATCAGTAATGTTGCCTGGAGCCCTCGGCAACACTTGTCGATGCTGTTGTGCCGATCCTACTGTTTAGCTGCTACATGTTATGGTAACAATGGCAGTTGTAAAGGTCTTTTTTTTTTCTTTTTGCTTAATGCTGTGGCATTGTTCATGCCCTGCTCTGAAAGAAACTTCAGTGATTGTTTACTCATTGCTTAAAGTATGGCCAGGTGTGGATCGTTTCTTTGTAACTCTTCCTCAATCTGTCAACATAGTTCACTCAACACCAAATGGGCGTTCCCACCTAGTTCGGGCTGCCCGAGTGGGTATGCATTAATACAGCTGCGTTCTGAAGTGTTCGAATGCCAGTTAGAAAGAAAAGGTTGTTGTTCAGTTGTTCTAAAAGTTTGTTCACTGCACAGCTTTTTTGTAAAGCTAAGGTTAGTGGTTCTGGCAAGCTTGGCGTAGGACGGGTAGTTCTCGCAGCAACGTAACCTTCGTATTTGTCGTCAGCACGTGCTTTACAACTGAAGTAGCCTTCAGCTTGCTCCATATTTACACTAAATTGGAGCGACAGCTTTGCGCTTGAGTCAAGCATTTCACCGGGTCAGGCCACTTTTTAAGGACCAAATCATTGCTTGGATGATTTCGGTTGCGTTTTTGCTTCGGCTAGTGTTCTATTTTTGGACAAGTTTTGATGTTTCAGCATATAAAATCCGATATACTGATAGTGCACTAACTACCGATGCCTGAAGTATTACTTGCTTCTAGAGCAACTGCATTGTGAAGCTGTGATTTGAATTCTTTTCCTGTTTATTGCAGTAGTTTTCAATCAGTCTTGAGATGCACTTAATGGATATTTACAGAAGTTGTTCTTACAAGAAGCTCCCTGGTGCTGTGATTTCACTTGTCCGATGGCAGAGCTTCTTTTCTTTTTGCCATATTTTATGTGGCTGGGCTGTGATGTGCGTTGGCATTGATTTAATTTTTGTACTGTTAATAAAAAGTGCCGTTGTTTTGCGCTTGGAGTTGTGTGTTTGTGTTCGATGCGAGTCGTGCTGCTCACGTAGAAGTACGGGTAAAAACCCAAAGTGGTGTATAACTAAAATTCTAGGTCCAGTTTGTCCAATGAACACGCTAATGTAATGATCTTACTGTGATATGCGTGAATGTATGAAAGGTCTAGATTGGCAGTTTCATCTACAGTCCTTGTTTAAAGTAACCGATGGAAGAAAAAGAGGGTTAGGGTCCAGTATTATATAACCGACCATTTGTAGAAGCAGCACGGATAAGCTTGAACATTGATTCAACATTTTAACATTACAACAAAATACTCTGTGGAAACAGTTTTGACCTTTCTAATAGACTAACCACTTTTGGAGCCATTAAAGTGGCTAATTGCGAAAACCTTCCTGGAAAGTCAATGTATTGAAATAATGAACGGTACAAATTGTTTTAGAAACTTCTAGATTAGTGACCAATGCAAATTTTGACCTGAAATGCTGCACTTTTACTGCAATACATAAATTTTTTCAGCTCCGGCCTTTTTCTTGTTTGCTCATTCATTCCGATGTCTAGCACTTTTTTATTGAGAGGGCCGTGGCAATCGGCAATGCATTTACTGCCAGTATGCTGAAGACTCGACATTTTAAAGCTATCATTGCTTCAAATTACGGCTGCACATAAGTTTTGCTTTTTGCATGTGGCATGGGTCAGACGTTCATCAACAGCCGCTTTTAAAACACCGGTATTTGGCAGGGTCCGTACCTCTGCATATGTCAGTGTGCAAGGCAGTATGAAAGACACTTGAGACAAAGGAATTTTCTTTTGTAAGTAAATTACTCTTTCACAATACCTAATCGCTGCACCTGCTGTGAAAGGACACTTCATAAAAGGAAATGAGCAATAAGGTAGGTATTATGGCTGGCGACACCACCTTGGTGTTCTTGCACGGAATGCCATTAACTTCATGGATTTAGAATACTTCTACTAGCAGCTACTTTGATGTTCAGGACGCCACCTTCAAAGATTTTAGTGCGAAATAAAAAAATTTTACCTTGAATTTAACGACCCAAGTGTTCTCAAAATGCAATTTATCAATCAAAACCGGTTTTATGTTTCACTTTGTCTCTTTAAAATTTGGCTCAATAGACACGAGTGTAGGGCGTTCAATCACACATCTTTTGTTCCCTTTCAACAGGGACTATGTACAAATCAACAGTGATGTCAAAACTGCACTGACAATTTAGCAGCGCAGCATGGCAAGAGAGAGTGTATGTTCACTTAAGCAGGCCTGGGTTGCATGAACGGAGAGAAAACGTCTCTTACGATGCACCACTCTTATAAAGTGAATGAAGGTCGAGGTTATTTATTATCTGCGGCCTCGCAAGCCAGAAACAAGATATTATTATGAAGCATGCCTCGATGGAGGGCTATGGAAATTTCTGCCAACTGTGTTCTTTGACGTGCACCTGATCTATGCGCACGGGACCTTATTTTGCCTCCATCGATGTGCACCAACGGTGCCTGGATGGAACCCATGACCTTTGGATCTGCTAGTCAAAGTTCTGCCTGGTGTTGCATAAATGTTGCTATCTAACCAATAACAATGAGAACTAAGGGACATTTGAGACTCAATAGTGCAGTGCTTATAAGTGAGCTACAGTTTTAAACCACGTACACTGCAAAAATTAAATCTTAACTACATTGGCAGTGGTTGCATGTCGATAGTGGTAAATAGCTATAGACCTGCGTACCGCACGACGTTAGTGAACGTTCCAACACTAGATGGTAGAAATTTCGCGAGCCCTCCTCTACAGTGTGCATCAATCTTACATTCTAGTTTTGCCAGTCAAACTTTGGCAACGAACGGCTTTGATATGCAGCGTGAAGTAAGAGTAGTACAATGGACACAGGACCAGCGATGCTTTTACACTCAAACTTCACTATAACAAAGTCATGTCTGCCCCGAAAATACATTGTTACATTTGAAAATTTGTTATATACGAGTATTAGCGACACCATCAATGGCACAGCTATCGGTTACATTGTTATAACCAACAATTTCCTATATCCGAGTTCATTATACAAGGTTTGAGTGTATTGCAAGGTGGCGAAAATGTTTTCGAGTGTATCATCAAGAAGCAGGGTGGCTCAATAATTCTTGAGTAAGTTCGGCAAAACTTCATGAGTCGGACTATACAAAAAAAGTGGGAAGTCATATATTGGATCATCGACAATTTCATGGCTTTTATACATTTCAAAAGCCACTAGCCAGAAACTTGAAGACTGTCAAGGAAATCATTGGGGAAAATATGCGTACATGCGTGATAACTTGATGGCATTGGGAGCAAGCAGCCCGTCGTTTTCCTTTCAGTTCCTTTTAACGAAGAACTACTTATGTCATACAGATGTGCAGTATGGATCCATTTAAAAGGGTCGCTGGCCTACCCTGAAAACCTGCATTTTATACCATATTTACTCTTGAATTACGGCAGTTTTTTTTTTTTAAAGGTTGATCGTGACTTGGGGAGGGGGGGGTTGCAATTATTACACAGTAATAATTTTTGAAATAGGATCGAATTGCAGCTCGGAACATTTATGATGGGCTACTGTAAGCACAACCGAAAATGTGACTGAAAACCAGGTCTCGTAAGTCAAGTTTACAAGCTGTGCATAATTTGTGGCCAGCACTTGCCGTGTTTTCAACTTGGGACATATTAACAATGCTTATAAAGTCATTTTCTACATGTCCACTCTTATTTTAACCGTAAAATTTTTGATATACAACTCTGCGTTCGTGAGTAAACTGGCCTTTTTATGCTTTTTAGGGGAAGTGCAACAAATCGAGTTCCGCCTTTTTTTTTTTTTTTGGAAGTGGGGGGAGGGGGGGCTAAAACGTGGCGTGGACGAGTGGATCCACTGAATGGGCTCAAAATCATTGCTGCATTTCTTTTTCAGTAGGTGCATTGGTGTGTGCAAAATAATCAATATGAAAAACCATAGAAATACCTACCTCCAACAAAGTCTGTCAAATAAACACATGCGTTGCCCGTACTTGGCCGCATCTCAAAAATGTCTTTGTGAAGTTCATCAAAAGTGTGCCACGATGTTATAGAAAGGGCATAGCTGTCTTTTTATTATTTCAAAAAGACGTGGCTAGCAATTGACAGCTTGAAGGCAGCAGATACGGAGATTCAAGTTGCTCCATGCAGGCTTTTTTTTTTTCTTAAGTGTCCAAGGATCCACGCCCCATGCAAGCTTCTAGCTCTACAGACAACAAAGGCACGGTAAAAAATTATGAGGAAAGTGTTGTCTGGAAACAAAGTTCAATTTTTTGGTCAATCGTTCGCTGAAAGCTGGTCACGTCAGGTAGAATGTTTCACTGAACGAAAATTTGTCACTCGCCAAGTAAAGAAAAAGGAGAAGGGGCGGAGAGGGGCAATTTTTGACATTTTAGTCTGTTATTGCATTGTATAATACATACACAAAAGAGCAATGGTGCTGTGTCCACTGTATTCTATACATGATACATGTGATGCTTCCAAAGCATGAAAAACACTCATTGTTTTACTTGGTCAGTGACTGCAATTTTCAAAACTTAGTTTATGACCTTATAACGTTCAGTTGCAGAATAGCGAGCATTCTTTGTTCATGGTTCCATGTTATCAGTTTTTTTCCTCACCAAGAGGCTTATTTATAATATCAAGTTAGCTAGAGACGCGAACAAAGGCGTTCGCAATATTTAGAGTAGGCATTGATGCATTTTGAAGGTTTCCAGACATATACTTGTTTAAAGTGCAGCACACTCTTTCGTACAAACAGAATCGCATTATTTCAGTTGTTCGTGTAGTTCTCAGCATGTAAAGGTGAGTTGAGAATTGACAGCATGTCCCCTGCAGCGGCATCGACTTATCAATGATTCTGGTTTCTGGGGCTAGCTATTACTGTATTGCAAGTTTTGTGGCAGTGAAGTATGTTATAAGAATGGAGCTATAAGGCTTTTAACTTTGTGGAAATTAGCAGTAGGATTTTCAAAATTGTGATGTAGCGTCATGACTGCATACACCTGTCTACTATCTCGAATTTTTTATAACTTGGGCTGTATACTGATTGTTTCAAGCATTCATGAAAAATAAAGTTTTTCCCAGTGAACCTTTGCTCATTAATTTCCAAACTGCAATTTTCAGATGATGCAACAAGGACAGCAGCTTTTGCGAGTAGGCAGGTTGAGCGATAAGCTTGCTGTAAAAGTTCCTTTTGCTTGGAAACCACTTATAGGATGTGTAGCCACAGATGGGATTCGAATACCCCTCTCTCCCCGATTTCACATTTTGGACAAATTACCAGAGCCATATTTAGAAATATTTCATGAGGGGGGAGGAGGTATTTCGTATAACCGTACTTAACGTAAGATTTCAGGCATGTGTTGCGCATGTGTGTGTATATATACATGCAATATTGAAAATGTTGCTGGGCAGGAAGGGGGAGGGGTCAACGTCCATCTGCGGCAGTTGTATTCTGCGCCCTTGCTGTTTAGTGCTCTTCGATCTCTTTTTCGACTTTTTCACTGCTTATGTGCTACAACAAAATGTGGATTAGATTTTATTTATTATATTTCTTTCACGATTCTGCAGGCCCAGCATGGCCTAGGCAGGAGTGGGCTTACAAAATCAAGAAGAACAGTACAGAAATAATTGATAAGAATACTAGCACCCCATGCAATACATCAGTCTTGCTATAAAGTGATTTTTAAACAAAAATAATAAACAGCCCTAATAAAATACAATACTCTCACAATGAGCTATCTAACAGTCTCAGCTATTCTGTATTCAACGTGACAAATGTTGTTTAGATGCTTCATCAAGATTGTCTGCCTTGCAAACAAACTCGGGCGGAATATTTCAATCCAAAACACAGAGGAAAAAACTCTGTGTAAATGCCTCTGTTCTGACAAAAATGTGTTGAAGAGAGTGTTTGTGAGTATTGCACATAGTTTTGGCAGTAGTGGCTGTCAAATACGAAGGTGCAGACACACTTTCCCTTTAAAATATTATGCAAAAACTTGCATCGACTGATTTTTCTGCAGACAGCTAGTGGCAGGATATTATAAGTTTTCATGAGTTGAGTTCGGGAATCTAGCCTTTTGCATTTATTAAATATAAATTCGATGGCTTTCTTTTGTAGTGCTTCTAGGCTCTGTATCTCCTTTATTGTGTACAGATCTCATACCATGTGACAGCGTGACTGATATTGTGTTTCCGCGTGGTTCCTCGATCTTCAGGAAACAGGTGTTGCGACTTCTCTTGAAATTTTTGATTGCTACAGACCTCGCATGTGACTGGTGATAAGTGACAATTATGTTTGGGGTGTAGTGCAGCGAGATAGAGTACCGGCTTGATACCGCAAGTGAAATAGCACAAAGGCCACCGTCTTATGCAGGCTTACGTTGTGCTATGCACGATTTTCGTTTGAAAAGCCTGCTCAGGCTTGGTTAAAACACAAACAAATGACATTAGCTACAATTACCAAGAGAAAACCGGGCGGGGCAATTGCCTGCAAATTATGCAAGGCTAGATCCGCCGGCTACCTACAACATCCTCAAGCCTCAACCAATACCACGGATGCATACTCCAATTCAGGTCTGATAATAGTATTGTTCTGCCTTGCCGTCTTCTTATCAGATGACAACAGGCAAGGACATCCACCTTCACCATTACGCAAATAATTGCTGACAAAAATGCGTCCCGTTTGACCTCAAATATGCACTTGGCGCATTGTGTCAAATCTTTAAGGTAATGTGAAAAGCTCTGTGAGAGTGTGCATGTACTTTCCAGCAGACATCTGGGCCAGGTTTTCTAGAACTTGCAATCTCTTTCACACAATAAAACTTGAAATAAATGAAATCCGGGCAATTCAGTTTCTAAGGCCACTGCTAGGACAAGTGTTTTAAAAGCTTGTCGGTGCACTCGACATGCTCGAAACATTTCCTTCATTGAAACAACAAAGCCTCCAGTCACTAGCATAGGGGGTAACTCGCCAAAAATTTGCAGTTTAGTACACATACACACACGTGCAGCTAAACACTCAAAGTATGAATGCTCCCCCCCCCCCCCCCCAATTCCAGGAAAAAAAATTTCGCGTTGCTACTTTTGCAATTTACAACGACATTCAAGCGATTTTTCTTTAAATCGAAAGCCGATTGATGTGCAGACTACTTGCCGGCTTAGGGTCATGCTTTGGTCAGTATAGCCGAATCGATAACATATGTGGTTTTGCTGTATGTGTAGATGTGGGACAGGATGGTATGAATACCAGTATACATGCTTTACCACTGCATGTTTTGTTTATTTCTTAATCTATAACGCTTAAATGCGGGTCGAATATGTTTCCTTGGCTGAATTACTCAGTACTGTAGGCATCTTTTATTCACATAGCCTGACCCTTGCAAGGCGCACGAAGTTGAACCTTCGATCTTGCGGCGCGGGTACTCAAACTAGTTTCATAGCAGTAAACAAGGCAGTGTGCAGGAATATTAGCGCAAAATATTTGGAAGAATGTTGGAAAATATTTGCACGCTCACTGCACCATATGCTGTACGTGCGCCTGCGCTGCACCGAATTCAGTGTGATTCGAAGTCTGTGGTGACGTGGACCACGCTTACTAAGAAAGGTATTAGTGAAAGCCGCGGCTAGGCTTCCTGGTTCCACTGGCGATAACGGGTAAGGGCAAGCTGCGAGAAAACGATGCGCCCCCTTTTCCCGCAATGATGGGGCGCAAAGTCTGCTCCCATACTTTCAATATTACTAAGACCGGGAGGTGGGCGGGCACAGCACCGAATCTTCGCTGCCGCCCCTCCTGAAGCAGAGTACCTGAAGGAAGACTCTGCACACACTTATGGCCGGAAATAAAGGAAGAACGGTAACTTGCCCGACTCCCTCAATGCAATATTTATGCTATATTTAACTTAATTTCTTTTCTTAGTCACATACTATTAATGTGAGCAATCCTCAAAAATTCTCACCCAGCCTCCGTTACCGCTGATATGAGCTCTTTCTGTTTTGAAAGAGGAACTTTGATTAATTACGACTTGCAGAGGTAATTAAATGTGATAACAGCCACAATTGCCGACAGTGGCAGAATATTTGGTAGCCGTGAGAACACAACTGTCGCACGAAAGGGAGGACGCTAAACAGCGAGACGAGGCTGTTTGTATCATTTGTCTGGTGTCTTCTCTTTCGCACTGTTAGCCCGTTTGAGCTGTTAGCCTCCCGCCCCCTCTTGCCCGATTTCTCTTTCTATCATTGAATTTCCTAAATAGGCAAACCACAACCCAGCTTAGCATCGCGGCAGTTCAAAATCTCAACGTACACCGAAAATCAACAACGTTTTGACCGTCATTGGGCGGCGGAATCACACAACACTTCTCGTAACAAAAGTTCAGAAACAGGGGGTGGAAAGAAATGTGGAACGCTTCACGATTTTGCGTGTCATTCTTGCGCAGGGGCCATGCTAATCTTCTCTGTATCGTTCCAATTTTAGTATATGTACTTTGGAAGTACAACATACTTGCTGGGCTTCCTGTATATATACCCATAAGTTTGAAGCCACCTGTGTGCTGGGAACGACAGCCAAAGAGAACAATTTTTTGGCAGTTACCGTTGAAATGCAAGTTCAAATTTTGGTCAAAATTGTACAACACGGTAATTGACAGAAGCCTTTTTATTTAAGTCAGTTATCAGAATCCAATTAAAGCACGTGTAACGTTAATATTGTCCCGAATTCTTCCTGCAGCAATCCACCAAGCTTGTTAGGTGGCGTCACCTCGCGGGTCTCTTTTACAATAGTAAAGGCAAAAGCACGGCCCCCGAGGTAAGTAAATTTATCTGAAAATCCTAAATGTTGAGGTTTAGGCGCGCTTGTTTAAAATGTCAAAAGTGACGCAACGTTTTGTTTATTTTGTCAATTGTTTTTTTAGTGAAACCAGCAAGCGGTGTGAAAACAGTGCATCACATCGGACAGTAATGGCGTGCTAATCTCGGGGGCGTTGCGCTTGCCACTATTGGTGTACGGTAAACCCGCAAGATGACGCTACCTGACAAAAGTGAATTATTGCAGGAAGAATTTGTGGCATTATTAACGCTATTCATGCCGTATTCGGACTTTGATAGCTGACTAACCTAAAAGGCTTCTGTCAATGAAGGTTTTGTACAATCTGCATTAAAAGTTAAGCTTATGTTCTAACGGCAGCTTTGAAAATTTTGTTGCATTTCACTTTCGCAGGCAGCACACAGGTGGATTTAAACTTATGAGTATATATACGGGAAGCCCAGTAAGTATGTTGTACTTCCAAAGTACATATACTAAAATTGGAACGATACAGAGAAGATTAGCATGGCCCCTGCGCAAGGATGACACGCAAAATCGTGAAGCGTTCCACATTTTTTCGCACCTTCTGTTTCTAAGCTTTTGTTACGAGGGATGCTGTTTGATTACGTCGCATCGCCCAATGACGTGAATACGTTGTTAATTTTAAGAGTTCACTAAGATTTTCGACTGCCGCGGTGATATCGCGTAAACTGTATAGTAGGTTGCCCGTTTCGGAAATTCAATTATGAAAGAAGGAAACTGGCAAGGAAAGAGATATTACAGGCTAACCATAGAGATAATATGCAGACTTTATATTAACTCTATGAAGATAACAGTGCAAAGGTCAAGACACCAGAGAAAAATGATACAGACAGCCTCGCTTCGCTGATGTTTGCGTCCTCCTTTTCGTGCGACAGTTGTGTTCTCATGGGCCATGGCATAGAGTTAAAATACTGGCCGTGGCTACAAATGGAAGTGGCATATTCTGTCGCTGCCAACAACATGGCTGTTATTGCCTTTAATTAACTCCGCAATTCACCTTTCATCAGATAATGTTCCTCAACAATTAGGATGATACATTAACAGTAATAATAATAAAATAGTAATAATAACAACAAGGAGCAAAACAACTACAGCAATAAGGAGAAAGTACACATGGTGGTAATTAACAGAGGGAATTAAGTCAAATGTCAATGGCGAACTACTACGCCTATAGGGAGGTGAAGAAGGGGGGCGTAGGTTGGTCGCACACCCCACTTTGCGCCCCTCCCCCCTCGTAGTCGTAGCCTCGTAGGTGACGATAGTTATAGCGCAAGAACAAAACGACGACACAGAGACAAGAGGGACGTCGTGTTGTTTTGTTCTCGCGCTATAGCTATCGCCATGACATACCAACTAGCCCAAGCTGCCGCACTTCTCGTAGGTGAACTAGGGGAAGGATGCCCTGCACCACCCTTCACTTATGTTCGCGCCTATGTTTCCGGGCTCATTCTTTTTTAAATGGGCTAGTGTGTCGTTCATGGTGTCACGCCAAAAAACATTAGGCGAAAGAAAAAGAGGCGTAAATTCTGTAACGATGCCACCAGGCCGACGCTGCGTTCAATTGGCGGGCTTAACGCGCTAAATTTGAATGCAGACTAAGGAGAAACCGCCAACCCTTTAAACAAAGGTGTTGCTAGGGTTGTAGTTCGGAGGTTTCAGACAGTACACTGTAATTGTTTTTTAATATGGAGAGTGTATATACATGCCTTCGCGCAAACATTTAAAAGAACGAAAAAGAAACACGATTTAGCATACATAAAGGTGGGCCAGGCAACCTATATTTTCTGGTTACTCCCCTGTCTTTCCCAACTATAAGAGAACTCTTGCTGCCGCAATAAGACGGTTGATGAGCCACTAAACGCTCAAAATAATGTCTCAGGTTGTTGCATTGTACCTAACAAATGCTGGAGGCTATCCGGAAATTTATACCACCTGGGCTTCGTGAACGTGCACCTACATTTAGCGACACGAGACTCAAGAATTTTCGCCTTTATCAAAACTGCAGCCGCCACAGATGGGATTCGATTCTGTGACCATCAGGTGCAGAAATCGAGAGCCATGGCCACTAGACCACCGTTGCGGGTCATGTGGTCTACTCTGGGCGGGCGTTCGAGGGTATTTTTCTTCAGTTAGACCTGTACAGTGATTGTTGAAAAAGCAGGGTTTTGGCAACGCACGTTTTTGTTGATAAGGGCGGCCGAAGCCCCCGGATGTTGTCAACCTAAAGAAGTTTTCTTTTTCATCCTAATCTCCTAATTTTATATGGTTTCATCTATTGTGAAACATCTTGTCTTTTCGGCTGAATGAAGGAGTGGATGGTTGGGATGAAACTTCGTAGAAATCATCACGCCACCAACTCATCATCAACAGACAAGACAAAGATCCAAATATTTGTGCGTATGGTCCTTTCTTCGTCTATGAGCTGGTATATACAATGGTGTAACTTCACCTCCACCTCTTCATCAGCAATCCTGCACACTACGCTATGCGTGTACGTTGAATAAAACAAACGAATGCATTGCGTTTCGCGCGCTCTACAGGTCGACGGTAATGCAATTACGTCACGAACAGGTGACGTAAACGCGAATCAACAAAGCGTTTACGGTAAAAATATCCGTTCTTTAATGGGACAGGTACTGTCACAGGCGTAAGTAGGGCGGGGTCTTGCGGGGTTCAACCTCTTATTCCCTTAAAAAAATGTTTTTTTTTTTCAGCTTCACATCTGTAAGTATACACGCACACGTAATACGTGCGAACCCACGCATGAACATACATGAAATACGCATATATTTTAACCCTCCCTCCCGCCCCTGTCCGCTTCGGTGGATTAGTGGCTAGGGCACAGTTCGATACCAGCCGTGGTTGTCGCATTTTGATGGAGGTGAAATGGTAGAGGCCTGTCTGCTGTGCTATATCAGTGCGTGTTAAAAGAACAAAACCAGATGGTCCTAATTTCCGGAGCCCTCCACGACGGCGTCTCTAATCATATCATGGTTTTGGCACGGAAAACCCAAAATACTATCATTAACCCCCCGAAAAACAACATCTGTCTACTCTATACCGCATAGACGCAGTATCCCATCCATGCTGAATACGGCAGCGTGCATCCACACAAAAGGTGGCACAGAATTCACATGGGTGGCACCGATTTCGTGACGAGCAGGAGATAACGAAGCATCTCCGACACCGCGAGATAGGGCAGATCGCGACGGCTACGTCACACGTTCACGGAAAGCGTACAGTATACGTTCAAGTATAGCGTCCCCTTCAGATTGGAGAATCCCCCAAGGTTCGCCTACAGATACGAGCAGGCGCGTCCACGTACACTGTATGTGTATACTACGAGTATACACAAGTACACAGCTGTCGCGGCGTCTAGCTCGCTATCAGCTCCCTTATCAGGTGTCCTCGGCCCCGATCAGACAGCGTGGCATGACTTGCGAGACACGTCTGTTTCCCCCTCCCCACCGAGCCATCGCATCGCTGTCAAGGTTAGCGGGGGGCCACGCGATCGCGTTATCGCCATCGTGCTGCTGTGTCGTGTTTGCGCTAGATAATGGACCCGTCGTGTGCCAGAGGACATTCACGCCCTGGCCTGTCGGCTGTAATCAGCGATTCCAACGAAGAGCCGCACCAACGCTCATTGACATCCTGAATGGGCTGCATGACGATATCTGGGTCATTTTCCGTCCTTGCAATGTCTCATTGTTGCTCGCCATGATGTCTAAGACATTTTCTGACCAAGGTCAACGTAGTACTTTCTCGTATGCTATACCAGCACCCGATAGCATTGGATAGCGTTGGCTGTCGGCTTTTTTTTTTTCGACCCACCACGCTGGTCCAGCTGGTTATGGTGCTTCGACGGCTGACACCAAGGTGTGGCGAGATCGAATCCTAGCCGCGGCGGCCTTATTCTCGGTTGAGGCGAAAATGCTTGAGGCTCATGCACTTGGATTTAGGAAAAAGTTCAAGATTCTGAGGTGGTCGGAATTTCCGAAGCCCTCTGCTACTGAGTCCTTCATAGTCACATAGTGCGCCCTGGTGATAATATTAGGTGCGGACATTACTAGTGTGGGTAGGGAGCCACGACAACGCACACCGCCTGTAAAAATGAAAGCGGAAACAAGCGGTGAATAGAAAGATAGTAAACAACAGGAACAAAATAGAAATAAATTGAAGGAGAGAAAAAAAAAAGTTCACACCATCTTCTCAAAGGGAAACCTGATGGTGTGCGAAGCAGAAGCGTTGCGCACGGGTGGCGTCACGGATTGAACGGTGCTTACGCAAGTGCTGTGGTGCGTGTTGGAAGATTCGCGAGAGGTGGTAGCGGCAGTGTTGACGAGGCGGCAGCTGCGGGCGCTGCGACGAGTGCGCGGCAGACGAGGGAGACGGTGACGTCAGTGCGAACTGCGAGGAGAGCATGACGTCAACGCGCAGCTGCGGCGTGACCAAACCGGGCACCGCTCCGACAGCTGCGGTGAGAGGAGCGCATTGCGGCGCGTTCGTATGGACGCACGGAGAACTGCGTTACACAGGCTAGTCGAAGAGCTCCTTCGCAACTAAAAAAAACGTGGTTGATCTCTCCGTGATAGTCATTGGTATGACACGAAAGGGAAACGTACACGTACAGAAGTAATTGAATGTTTCCTGTGTATTGATATAGAGAGTTTGCACGAAGTTTATTGGCGTTCGGCAGCTATGGCACACCGTTTGACGTGAACGCACTCATATTGACGCTGGGTAATCTACATCCCTACGACTATAACGTCCACAATCAACAAACCGTTGCGGTAGCTGTAGATGCTAACGGCAATAGCGTTATTAGATAAATATGCATGATAGCCAAAAGAGCGCCGCTGTTTGGACGCAGAACTTTGAGCTAAGGTTGCCATTCCGCGGCATGTTCAAGTGTTATTGGACACCACTGTTGGCGTCGTGTCGCCACTGTAGCCCGCAATTTTCCTCGAGGAGAGAGTAAACAGGGAAGGTGGTATTAAACCACTGTGCACTGGGAGGAAGGCAGGCGCACGTCACCAAGCTCTTTTTTTTCTTGGTTTGGATATAGACGCTGTGAACGAAGCTGACAATAGGTGACCGGCAAAATGGGCAATCGCAGAGAACTGTGGATACGTCGGCTTCCAGTTCGATGCTCCACACGGGTCAGCAGCGGCACGCGCGCATTATTGTACTACTCCGTTAAAAAAAAGCACCTTTCCATGCAATGTCAGTGCTTTAGAAGTTGTTTTTTTGTTGTTGTTGTATTACTGTGACGATGACGAGCTATACGAAAGCCTTGCGAGGCCAGGATTCTGGCCCACGAGGGGCTAGTTCGTTAAACGTCCACCACGTGCCGCATGAAGTTGAACCCTCCCCCTCGTTCCCTCTTTTCTCCTCCCACCACGGCGCTGACGAGTTCCCTACGGAAGTGGCCTCGCTCTTCAACCTGTTCTCGCCCGCCCCTCATTGCGGGAACCAAAGAATAGCGACCCGCTGTCAGTGCATTCTTACTCACGCCGTTTAAGAGCCGGCCTGTGTAGAGTACGCGAACAGGTTCCGGACCAGCCATGAACAATTTTTCAGACTGAGGACTTCTTTTTTTTCTTGCCTTGGTTGAATTCGAGTCCTCACAGTTTTGATATAGTCATAGATAATTTTTATACGAAGAAGCTAGGACCAACTGCATTACATTCCTTAGTTTTTTTCTCGTCGTAGGTAATCTATTGTAATCATAATATCAGGTTCAATACTTAATTTGTGGCTAAGCCATAGTACTTTCCGACCCAAACTTTCTGTAGGGCAGAACAAAGTTTTCAATCTTGTTTTTTTTTTTTTTAGCTACTAGGCTATTGAAAAGCACGCAAAAAATTAAGAAAGATGTTAGTAGAACGATTTTCACAGGAGAAGCATGTC